ATCTCCCCATACTACTTGTGCATGAAGTTCCCCACTCCTTCGGGAATCGGGGTGGCGAGGGGAGACCAAAAGTTAGCTCGGTCATGCTATGTCCGAATCACAAAGAAGTTGCCAAGGGATGAGACATTGGTCGTGCACGCACAAGAAGAAATGCGGAAGCTGGAAGCACGGCCGAAGGCCGAGCCCGCTGAGGAGGTCGAGGAAGTGCCGCTCGACCCTCGAGCACCCGAGCGGAAGGTGAAGGTCGGGGCGAGCCTGACCGGGAGCCAGCGGAAGCGCTTAGTGGACGTGCTCTCCGCCTACCGCGTGATCTTTGCATGGGGACCCGGGGATATGCCGGGGGTAGACCCCAAGGTCATATGTCACCGCTTGGCAGTCAACCCGGAGGCTAGGCCGGTGAAGCAGAAGAAGCGATTTCTCTCATCCGAGCGGAGGGAGTTTGTCTCCAAGGAGGTGGCCACCCTCCAGAGCATTGGGCATATCAGAGAGGTTAAGTACTCGGAGTGGATGGCCAACGTGGTGATGGCGCCCAAGGGAAACACTTGGAGGATGTGCGTGGACTACACCGATCTAAACAAGGCGTGCCCCATGGATCCGTTCCCACTCCCGAACATCGACCAGCTGGTGGACGAGACGGCGGGCTGCGAGCTCATGAGTTTCATGGATGCCTTTAGCGGGTACCACCAAATCCGGATGCACCCTGAGGACGAAGAGAAGACGTCTTTTACTACCCCCGGCGGAGTATATTGTTACAAGGTGATGCCTTTTGGGCTCAAGAACGCCGGGGCGACCTACGCTAGGATGGTGAGCAAGCTCTTTGCGCCCGTCCTCGGGAAGAGCATGGAAGCATACGTCGACGACATGATCGTGAAGAGCAAGCAGGCGACCACCCATGCGGAAGACTTAGAGGAAGTTTTCAAGATTATGGAGAAGTACAACCTTCGATTGAATCCGAAGAAGTGCACGTTCGGAGTTCAAGGCGGCAAATTCTTGGGACATATGGTGAGCAGGCGCGGTATTGAGCCCAACCCTGAGAAGGTGCGCGCAATCCTTGACATGGAAGCTCCACGAAATGTCAAGGAGGTGCAGCGCTTGACCGGTAAGTTGGCTGCGCTCAGCCGCTTCCTTTCCAAGGTAGCAGACCGAGCCGCTCCGTTCTTCCAAGCTATGAAGAAGTCCCGAGGGTTCGTGTGGACGGAAGAATGCCAACAATCCTTTGAATCCCTCAAGTCCTACCTCCTCTCTCCTCCGGTTCTCGCGAAGCCCGAAGCGGGGGAGACGTTGTCCTTATATTTGGGAGTTTCACCCAAAGCTTTGAGCTCGGTCCTAGTCCGAGACGAAGGTGGAGCTCAGCACCCGGTGTATTATACGGCAAAGACGCTGAGGGGTGTCGAGCTCAGATACTCTGTAGCAGAAAAGACGGTCCTCGCCGTGGTCTCAACCGTGCAGCGTCTAACACCCTACTTCCAAGCTCACCCGGTTCAAGTGCTCTCCCAACAGCCCATTGGTGCGCTGCTCAGGAGCCCGAACGCGCCTTCGCGCATGTCCAAGTGGGCGGTGTTTCTTGGAGCTTTCCAGATCGAATTCAAGCCAAGGCCAGCGATCAAGGGCCAAGCGCTAGCTGACTTCGTGGTGG